CTTGAAGGTCTGATCTCCAGGAAAATCCCTCCTAAGGGAGTGGTGCACTGAGGTCAGGCTTCTGGTGTAGGGATTGGGTTCCATTTGCTGTCCCTGAAGCCTGCTGTGCTCCTGCAAATCCATGCCAAGGGCTCTGCAGGCGGCATGGACACAGTGGGTCCCTGGGGGGCTGGTTCTTGTGGCAGCAAGCAGGGTCTGCCCAGGTGCCCAGGAGTTTCCTTCTTTGCAAAGGGCTGCATTTGCTGTATTTTGACTCTTCCTTGTGGAGCTGCTGAGGCCCTGGCACAGATTGCCCAGAGAAGCTGTGGCTGCCCCGTCCCTGGAAGTGTTCAAGGCCTGTTGGATGGGGCTTTGGGGTGAGGACACAGTCCAGGATAACAGGGACATGTCCCCTAGGGTGTTAAAGAAAGGCAAGAGGAGAGGGATGGAGGGAAGAAGATAAAAGAGGATACAGTTTTTCCAGCTGTGCCCATGCTGGTAGATTTCGAGAGGTCTGGTAGTGAAGCACACTGGGTAACAACCCGTTTTTGTCGTCCCCCAAACATAATGAAAAGCAAAAACAACCTTAAAAGAAAAAGAGGCCCAACTGCTCTTGCCAGTCCCTTCTGAAGAGCTTGTAACCATCCAGGGCAGCACTCCAGTCATGGGAGGCATCCCACCACGTTTCTGTGATGGTGTTCTTGCAAAAGGGAGTATCATTTTCTTAGTAATTGCCTCTTGGTCCATTGAATTACTTCAGATTAAAGTTCCTTGAAAGTGAGTAGTAGATAATTTTTTGGGGACATTTTCTGGAAGACCATTGTTTTCTGTCCTTTAGTCACCATTTCAGGATCATTGGGCATCACTACTAATTGCATTCCCTTTATCACATGTGCAATAAGTTGCATAGAACAAGGGACTATGCAAGGCAAGAAAATCAAGGGAACTAGTTCATAAAGAAGAAGAAATAATATGTTCTTTATTCCTTGTCTTACAAGAAGCCATGAAAACCTATCAATGTCCCAGCCTTTCCAGGTTTGAACTGGGACATGGGCTAACTTCCTAATTTCTTATGTTATCTGTGTTACTACTTTTCCATTGTCATCGACTTGCAGACAGCAATTTGAGTCATTTAATTTTCCACATAGCCCTCCTTCCTCTGCTGTCGTGGTTTTGCCTACCATCCAGCCCCTGGGGCTGAGGATGGTTTTGTCCAGGTGGATTTCCAGATAAGAAGCCAATCAAAACTATGCTGGAGCAAGATGGCCCAGGTGGGATGTTGGGATCCGTGTGTGGGATCCATGCTGCTGCTGAAGATTTGTGACCTTGAGAAAGAGACTTACGCCGGAGCAAGGACGGCCCGGGTAAGATGTTGAGATCTAAGAAGTGAAAGATCCATGCTAGACCCATGTCGGAGAGGTCTATCAAGGACTGTTCTCCCATGGGGAGGGACCTCCATAAGGAACAGGGGTGGACTCAAAAGCCATTATCCCCTGTGACCCTGTGGTGAAGATCCATGGTAAGCAAATGTCCCCTTGCAAGCCCATGGAAGAGAAAACTTTCAGGGCCTGGGTAACCCCCAGCCTCTGGTCTTAGCCCAGGAGGGGGGTAGGCCCAGCCCTGGAGGCCGACCGAGAAAAGAGAGAGAAAGAGAAAGAGTTCCAGCTGCGACGAATCAGAGTTGTCGTCCTGAGATAACAAAAGAAGAGCTTTAAAGTGTTGCAGAGTTATTGAAAAGACCTGGAGCTCCGAGAAAGAGACTGCTTCTCCTCCTTGGACTGATATAAAGGGGGGAGAAGTATTCCTGTAAATACGTCGCACTTTTACTTAAATAGAATTGTTGTACATGTAGTTCTTTAGTTTTATTTTGCTAGTAATAAATGTTCATATTATTTTCCCAAATCAAGTCTCTTTCATCTGCATAAACCTTCTCTCAATTTATAGTAATTGTGTGGGGGGTGAGAGCAAACTGAGCCAGAGCAAAACCATGACATCTGCTAATAAATAATTTAAACTATTTGATGTTGCAAGGTGGCAGTTCTCATCTGGGTTAATTGATCTGCTCACAGATCTAAGGCGGTAGCTGTTTGTTTAGTAATAACTTCTAAACCAGCTTGAAGTCTAATTAAACAATTCAAGTTATAAATTGGCTCTCTTGCTCCATATATTAAATCTGAAGGAGAATATAGATAGGACTGGTAAAAGGTATTCTACCAAAGAGTTCACCTTAGAATCACCCATCCATTCTGGGATCACTGGATCTCTCACTGGACAATTTGTTTTTTTCTGATTTAGGGATAATTCCAAATGCAGAGGTGCTGGTTTTAACAGACAGCATTTTACTTGGAGCACAATTTCTCTACTAAAGCTTTCCTTAGCTCATATGAGAGCTGCAGACTCTGTCCTCTTCTGTGGAATTAGCCACACTAACACAATCTCACTATTGGACTGCACAAAAGCTCCGTACTGTGGGATTTCTTTTGCAAAATATTCTATTCTCCTGGCTTTTTTAAAACTCTATGTCCTGCATTGCAAGTGAAAAGCCACTGCCCAGTGGGAGGCAATCAGGAGGTCTGTCAGGAAAGCAGTGGCTCAGGTCAATTAAACACTCACTGTCAAAGGTGTCAGCAAAAGCAGGTTTAATATAAATTTGCAAAAGCTCAGCAAAGTCCAACAGCAGTGGTCACTCTGGTTATTAAACATACACAGGAACATCAAATTAGAATTAATTTAGAATGATTTATGCAGACACTGGGGGAGAGGGGTAAAAAAGGTAGAGTTGTTAGAGAGAGATCATCCCACTGAGTCTCAAGGTACAGAAAAGATCTCCTTGTTTTCTAAACTGCCTCTCAGGGGAGGTGTGGATCGAGCCAATCCCAGTCCCAGACTTGATCAACAGTTTATGCAAAGGATTATAGCAGCACTTAATCACTGACCTTTCCCTCCTGTCCACCTGATTACACACAAGGGAGTGTTCTTAAAAGTTAAATCTGCCTGAGTGATTGGGAAAAGGTGTGGAGTGTAAGAGGAAAATGTTCAGAGTGTCATCAGAAGATCAGGATAAAAATACTGGTGAGTGACTCCCTCTGATTGACATTCTGGTGCTAGGATGCACTAAACAAGCATTTTCCTGGATTTGGATTTGCCAGGCAAATGTCACTTCTCTTCTGCACAGGGGGAGGGTCTTGAAGCCAGCAGTTACTCAGCCAGTATGAGAAAAGCCTTCTTTCCCTCCAGGATGTGGTGAACTTGTTTTTCCAAACAAGGGGAGGGTTACTCTTGCATGGTGCAACCGAGTCAGAAATGTTGACCACAGCATCCTGCCCGTTGCTTGTGAGACAAAGGTGAGCTGGGCCGTGTGTGTGGTGGGGTCTATTAGTTCATCCCCAAATTGCTGTGGAAACTATCACCCCATCAAACCTCCCCACATTATTTCCTGTTGGCCTCTTCCTGTACCACTGAGTGCAAAACCCAGCCTGTTTTCTTCTCTTCTGCTTGGTGTGGTTCCCTCCCTCCTGCTTTCAGCAAGCTGTCTCTGAACTGGAGCTTCCCAACGTCCCCAGAGACACTTCCCTGCACAAAGGCTAGAAAAGACAAATCCAACCAACAGGAAATCTGGGGTATCAAAGCTGTATTTCTGATCTCAGTGATCCTTAGGACAGTTGGGTTTCAGCAAGGTCCATCCCAAATTCAGAAGACAAAGCACAGAACAAACCACAACATTTTGGTCAAGGAAAATGTTATTTTTGTCACTGTTACAGGAACCTAAAATGCACGTGGGATCCAATTTGCAGAAGAAATACAGGTTTTATAAAGAAATGTTTCTATGGTTGAACCTTGTCTGTTTGAATTGAACCACTTCAAATCCAACACAGGTCTTCTCAACCACAACAGGAGATTATCGTTAATAAAGCTGTCTAAAAAACAAAACTATAAATGACAACTCTGGTGCTTGAATTGTCTCAGCAGTGAGACACCAGTTCTGCACACAGTGACAAAACAGGCCTGTGAAAGCTGATTTTAAACACTCTCTATCTCTCTGTATCTCAATAGTGAGGACTGGGTTTTTCTGAAACTGTTGAAGCAGGTTGGACATTCCTATGTAAATGCCAGAAAAGTGGGGAGATCTACTCAGCAGGAGGATGAGGAGAAATACACTCTCCTCAGTGCACAGAGAAAAAGAAGTAGCCAAAGCAGTTACAACTCTTAAATCTAAAAGAACTGGCTGGGCAGGATTGCACAGTATCAAATGTCTAAAGGGAAGGGGCTATGCTGTGTTCTGGGTGCTCACTGTCAGCAGATCTGGCACTGCTTGTTCAGCCCCTTGTGCTGCTGGTTCACGTTCTTTCCTGCAGTTCTTCAGGTTCCTCTTGCCTTGATTCCCCATATCTGGAAGAGCAAAGGGATTTTAAACTACATTTCATGCCACTGGACCTACAAAGCACTGTTTGAGAGCTGATCAAGACAGGTACAGAACAAAACTTAGGCTGGACTATCTTTTGTGCCTCTCTGGACACTTTAATTTAAAGATCCCCCCTGCCTCCTCTCTCTTTACTCCCACAGGTTTGTGTTTTGGGATCCTTGCTGCTGAACCCTTATTTGTCTGGTGTTTTCTCCAGGCTTTGTGCTCTGATACTTGAAATAGCCCAGGAGGTGCCTCTTAGGCCCTTCAGGTAATACCTGAATTGCTCTGGCAAAGAAAATTTGGGAACCAGTCACGAAGAACTGAGCTCTGGATACAGCAAAGTGTTGTTTCCTTTGTCATGTGGGAGGCAGGCTGAGCTTCTCTTAATTGTTTTTTTTGGGGCGTGGGGGGGGAGGACCAGGGCTGGTGCAGGTGCTTTTTGTGGGGTTTGCCCATCGTTGTTGGTTTTTCCCCAGAAACCTGCAAGAGCTGTTTAATGGAATCAGGAGCAGATGAACAGGCACCGTTACCTGCAGGGTTAGAGAAGTACACACAGACAGCAGTCACTCCTGCCACGTGCTTCCAGTATCTCCAGCAATCAAGCTGAGTGCTTCCTTACCTCAGAAAAGAACCAGCTTGATACTCATGAGGGTATTGAAGGCGATGCTTTTTGCCAGCAGGACTCTCAACCCCAGCACAGCCATGGACAGCGTGTTCACTCTCTGCACTGTGGGACCTGCTCAGGGACAGCGAAAAGAGGGGAGAGACCATGGCCTAAGTTTGGATGTAGCATCTTGGCAGCACGTGGGAAAAGCCACAGGTAACAGTGTCAGGGAAAGAACCAGCAGCAGAGGAACAGATGCCAGAGAACACAGCAGCACCAGGGGACGAGGGTGTCCGTCTCCTTTGCCTTTTGCTTCCTGGTGCTTGTGTGTTCCTGCAGCAGCAACCTTGCAAAGGCAGCTTGTGTTTGATAAATATGTTGTATTCTGACTCCTCTGCCCTTGAGAAATTACCTTTCTATGCATTTAGCCCCAAAGAGCAATGGAACTTCACAATCTCTTTCGGTCACTAACCTTGGGCAGGGGTGTCTGTGCTGTTGCAAACCCTGTTACTGGTCCTTGTTACTGGTTCTTCAGCCTCCTTTTCTGTAGAATGGTAAAGAAAAGGCATTTTAACCCAATATCCAAATTTTAGAGAGGATTAAAAAACTGTTCCTATGGCCCTTTCCATAGGGACATGTGGGAAGTAGAGTCTGGGGCTCAGCTGACCAGTCACTAATTCCAGCATAAATCTGAAGAGACAATTTCTCCCTGCAGTTGCAAGAAATGAAAGAATTTCTGAGTTGTTTTGGTTTTCCTATTTGAATGACCTTCAGGATGACAAAAACAATATAAAAAGTGATTTAATAAAAAAGAACCCAAATCACACCACCAGTTTACCTTTCTGTTGGTTTCAGAGAGGCTGTTTCCGGTTGTACTCCAGGAGATTTGCTGCTGCATGGTGAAATACTGAGTCATAAGTAAACTCACATTTTAAAAAATGGATTGTGCCTTCTCTCCTCCCCCATCAAAAGAAAATTTCTCCAATTTATTAAACAGTTGAGACCATTTCTTTTAGATGTTTTTAAACATCTCTCAGCTCTCCCTGCTTAAGTACCACCTGTCTCTCATTTCTGCTGCCCACCCAGGGCAGTGCAGGCTGTCAGGCAAGAGCAGCACCACAAGGCACTGTCTCCACAAATACGTTCCAGCTGTTCCCCCAAATTGTACCTGGCAATGCTGTCAGGGTGCCAGTGTCGAAATGGGCCTTGCAGGTCACCTCTGTGTCTTTTGTCACATTGACCACCTTCATAGCACTGTAGAACCCCTGTGCTGTCAGAATGGGAGTGCTCTGTTCATACACGACCTCAGCAGAGGACATCTCCAAGCTGATCCTCCTTGTGCTGAAATTTGTTGCCAAACAAGCTGCTTTCCCAGGGCTGCCTCCTTCTTTCAGTTTCTTTGATTTCATCACAATGACTTGTGGGACAGAAGGTTTTGGACTACCTGTAAAAAAAAAAAGTATGGTTTGGGCATAGTGGATTTTACTGCAGGCCTGCCTGAGAGCTAAGCCATGAAAATTCAGAGATACTCCAGCTGTGACTGATTAGCAATGAGAACTGCCCTTTTTTTTGTGTCATTACTTCTTGCTGTTGCTTCCAAAAGATCAAATTAGAGACAGAAAGGCTGTATGAAAGCAGGTATTTTATAGGAGATTTAATTCCACAGGATCTCAGCTTCCTTTTGCCAAAGTTGGTGCCTATAAGTGAATTCTTCATTTTAGAAATTAAGAACCTGAGAAGGAGAAGGGAACTTTTATGCATGTCCCTCCAAGAGTCCAATTATTCTGCTTTCTCAACAATTGAGTTCCAAACAAGGGCAGCTCTGTGAGGACTGCCTTGCACATTCGTGAGACATGAGGGAATAATTCCCTTTATTCTCCCTCCCCTCCCCAACTCTGCTGTTGTGGTTGAAAGGTCCAACACAGCAGGAGTGGCAGGGAGAGCAGAAGTGAGTTTGTTGCCTCAGTGCTGTGCAAGGTTCCCCCTGTGAGGGATGTTACGTGCAGAAATGAAGTCCTGCTGCTGGAGTGGGGGACGAGGCACAGCTTTTCCATAACAAATGCTCAGGTGCGAGAAGGAGTTCTGGCTGTCACATGGAAAGGTAGGAGAGAAGCAGTGAGAAGTCTGTGAATTGCATATCTGCACAGAGAATCACAGAATCACAGGATGGGTTGGGTTGGGTTGGGTTGGGTTGGGAGGGACCCTCCAGGCCATCTGGTTCCAGCCCCTGCCATGGGCAGCGATGCCACTCACTCGTTCTGCTGCAGGAGCTCCTGACAAGGCCAAGAACTTTCATTGTGGGGGAGGTTTTCCCCACTAGACATTGCACAAGGTGTGAGACATTGCAACCAGTCCACAGGCAATGAGAAGAGAATAGGATTGGTCCTGGGTTCAACAACAGCTCCTGTGCCTGTTCCAAAAAGTGTGACCTCTCTCCCCCTGGCTGTGCCACGTCGTCAGACCCACGGCTCCGGGGCACTGAGGAGAGCAATGCAGAGTTTGTTTAATAAACTGACTGGAAGGAAAGAATATCCTGGGCCTGTGCATGATGCTCCTGGACAAATCTTACAATATTCCTTGGAGTAGTGCAATAACCTTCAGGGTGGTGCTTTAGCACTAAGATACCAACAAACATCGAGAGCTGAAAAGGGGAGTTTAGAGAGAATCTCAAAGATGCTGACAACTTTTCACAGGATTTGAGATCCTTGCTCTGATCTTTCAGAAATTTGGTTACTCTGAAAGTGTTAGATGCATTTTTTCAGTTTTGAAAGAATTTTAGAGTTGGATTCCCCTGGAAACACATGAATGACAAGGGACTGACAACTAAAACAGACTGAATTTCAATGGTATAGCAGAAGCCTTCTCTGGGAATTTCTTAGAAGACATACAAGTAATGAAATAAGATTGCTTTACTTCCAGGAGCTGTCTTTTATGGTAACAGTTGGCCTCAAAAGAATTTTGTAACTAAAAAATCGTTGTGATACCAGGGGTTTTTTACACAAAATATCTTTGCCTTCAGGTCAGGCCATATGTGGAGAATCCAGGATGACTTCACAAACCAATGGCAGGACTTGATTCAGATTAGTAATTTGAATTCTAGTAAAAACATGTCACTGAAAGGAATCCTCTATCCCCCTTCCTTGCCAGAAAGGCTTAGCTTGTGAAAGGCTGCCAGACATATTAAAACCCATTCTGTTTGGACAGGAGCATCCTGGTGGGTCTCTTTGCCAAAGAGAGGGGCATCAGGCTTTGAATTTTGCACGGTGTCTGCCTTGCAGTCTGGTCAAGGGATCCCTCATGTCAAACATCTTGTTCATCACAGGACACTTTACCCCAGTTTGATCAAGGGGCTCTGATTTTACACTCTTTCCCCATCACCCTGAAGTGGTGAGGAACTGAGGTGAAAGCCAACTCGTGCTCTGCCATAACTTCAGGGGTCAGCTCTGCTGATAAATCAGCCAAAACTACAGTCTTGTCCACACTTACAGCAACCAGACACCCCACAGAAATCCAACATTCACTGCCAGGAAAAAAGGGAACATTCAAACAGTAACAACTCAGAGAAGGATAATGCATAAAGGACACCTACTTGGCTCCACAGTCAGTTGAGTTCCTTTCCCAAAGACAAGAGCAGCAGTTACACACAGTTAAAACACACAGATCAAAAAGGGCTTGTTTTTCTATTCTTCCTACACACATTTCCTTCCCAGGTGTTGTTACATGGTTTGCCAGAGCATTGTAGTCCTGTGCATTCGGTGTTATCTGAGAAGATCTTGAAAAGCTTTTCATGGTTTCTCCTCTCCAGGATTTCCAAACAGCCACTCCACTAACAAGCTGCTTCTCTGCAATGACTCACTGGGCAAGATCTTCAGCAAGAAACAATGTACACATTGCAATTGTAGTTAAAAAAGCAGAATAATTTTTTATCAGACCCCAAAAGCCTCAGCTGAGTCCCACCGTTCTGCATGACCTGAAAATACAGCCAGGAACTCCCACATCTGCTTGTGCTTGGGAGATATTTCTGTATTGCCTTCTGGGATTGTATTGGGACAGAAAGTTGTACTTCTCTTTCATTTTAGTCTCACGAGGTCACAAGAGCCACCTATTCCATAGAGTCATGGGCCTTAGAATACTGAATGAAAGTTTTATCTAGAATAAACCAAGCCACACCAACACAAAACCCTTGTCTGTCCTCAAGCTGAGCCCTCCAGAGAATATGCCTTGGGGATCCTGGAGTGACTACTGAGGGTTGTTCTTTGAGGTTGTTTTGATTTGGGGCAATTCTCAAAGGATTTGGATAATAAAGTATATCTGCTCTAAACATCTTAAAATGCATCTTAGTCACTCCCAAAGAAAATCAAACCCAAAAGAGTGAGGTTGCTCACATTCTGGAAATTTGACCTTCAGTTTATTGAGTATTTCAACAGACACTGAGGGACTTGGATACTTTACGCCCAATATCTTTTAGTGTCACACATGATCTGAAAGTCTTTGTGCAGCTTTGTCAATATCTCATCTTGAGCTACAAAAAGAAAACCACTGGACAGCACAGAAAGAGTTGGTTTTTCTTCAGAAGGATAACTTGGCATTCCTTTGCCCCTTTGGAATTGGAAGTGGACTGAGATTGTTCCAAAACAGACATTTATTCCCTGCAACATATCCTACAGGAGTGGGCCGATATTAGACAGCCCCTCAGCAGTCCCAAGCCCTTTTGAAATGAGAGCAGGGTGTTTTAGGAATGTAAAATGCCATGGGACATTTTTGCAGCACTTTAAAGACGTGCAGCCCTCTGAAAGCACAGCAACAAGTCCTGGATCTTTAGGATAACACAGAGCAACCTGACCAACTCCCTGGCACCCCAACATTCACGTGCCCATAGAAAAGCTTGGGGTGACATCCACCTTTTGTACAGCTGGAAAGTCCAAATCAAGACAGGAGTAACAACTATGGCTTGTTATAATCCTGACTCCCCACAGCTGTGCTTTCACAGCCCAGACAACGTGGGAGCCAGTTGTGTTTCATTGGAGGAGGTCTTGGATATGAGGCACCTGTGAAAACTGAAGGCCAAGGATATTTAACCTCCTTCCTCCTCTGTCTCCATGCCAGTGGAATTACTTCCCTGGGCACGCTGTCAGTGTGGTGCCAGTGTCCAAACTTCTCCAACCAGACAGTTCCAGATCTGTGTCAAAACTTCTCCCCACTGTGAGCTCTGCACTGAGCTGTGCATTCCTGCCCAAAGGGAGTCAGTGAAGATCCACTGAAGAACAGGACCCTTTGGAGTCAGGTTGGGCCAGAGTGGTGTCCAAACTGGCAGCAAATTGTAACATGGTCGGTAGTGCACACCTGGTGTTTGGGATCATGGAATAAAGGTGTTACCCAGAGTTAGGCCAGTTGTTCTGTGAAACCTTCCTAAGCAGCTCCAAGCTGAGGGTTTGGCTTGAAAGCCTGGCAGGAGAGAGAGAGTGCACTCAAGGGATTATTGCAGCAGAAAATTCTTGCAGTGAGCCCAAAGCATTAGGTTCCTTTTTCCTCCACCACCTTAACTGAAACACAAGTTCTAGAAATAAATGAAAAAAAGGTACTTACTTGGTTCAACTGTGAGGGTGGTCCCTGGTCCAAATACAAGCTTATCATCCACACACTGCTAATACTCATTGCAATAAATCACTCTTTCCAAATGGTATTCAAAAGGGTAGAAAAAGCAGGAGATGGAAAGTTAGACATTTGTCCTAATTATCCATGTGTGCAACTCCTTGAGGATATCCAGAGGCACATTTTCTTCCAAAACTGGAAAGAGAAAAACAGTAATGGAATAGTTTAGTGATTTCAAATACCTTGATTGAGTTCACCCTTTCTTCCATCTTTTAGAAACTCCATGAGCTCTATCTTTCCAGGATAAACAGAAATATAAAAAGAATGTTCTATATGTCTCTTTAATCATTAGAGTCACCCACCTCCTTTCCTTCCCAAATTATATTGCCTTTTTACCTTCTTTGGGTTTTTGTACAGGGTCCTGTGCTGTTTATATCATTGTGGTACTCCAGCCCCAGTACCCAGTGATGTATTTCATTGCAAAAACTGCCTCTCTTCTACTGCACAGAATTTTGGATCATACAGGCAGTCAGGTGACTTCTCCAGTGGTTTGAGACCCACCATACCACATGAAGAAACATAACATGGCTTTGAAGGAACAGTCTAAGACAATTATAAATGAAAACTTGGGGGTTATATGACACCTCTGAAAACTCTGATGGAGTTAAGCTGGATACAAAGCAGAAAACAGATCAGTACATTTAGTGCTATTTCAAAGCATTTTGGAAAATTCTTCTGACTTGCAGGGAGCTGTCTATATCTTCACCTGTATTTTGGTGTCATGCTCAGCAGCATGAGGAATGTGCCTCTCTGGGCTCTTAGAATTGGTGTCTGGGGTCACTTAGTGCTTAGAAAGTCTTTATGCTGCTTTGGGTAAGATGAGAACGTAGGCAAAATGATGGTTCTTTGTTATGCAGAGGCACTGTAGCCATGGGAGTGACTGCAGAGATTAAAGGAGCTGCTGCAGATTGATCAAATCCTTCATGATGATCAACTTGTGCAGCGTTAAGATGATCTTTACTCTCTGTGTTCTAGGCCTGAGTTTGTGTCTGTTCCAGCTGCCTGTCTGTGCTGACTCACATGGGTGGTTGCCAAGGGCATGTGGGCCCACGTGGGATTCCCATTGATCCTGCTGGTGAGTGGGGAGCTGGAGAGAAGGAAGAGTGAATGAATCCTGGTGGTCAGCAGTTGGTTACACAGCTGGCATTGACAAATGGACTTGGTTTCTATGACTGTGGGATCCTTTTGGAGGACTGAGGGCTCTTTGGAAGTGATGAGACCCCCCTCATTCAGTGAGACAAAAGCCTCTTTTGCCAACACAGTGGCCAACCTGATAAGAGGTTTAAACTGGGAACACCAGAGGAGGAAGCAGATGATAAATAATCAAGTGAGAAAGCAGTGGGAAATGTTGATCCAAAACATCAGAGGAATGGGATGAACAGGACAAGTTTCATCATAAGGAAAAAGGGCTGAAAGGGTTGCACTTCAAGAGTGTGAATTACATAAGGAAGTATCTATGTGGAAAAGAAATCCCTCTGGGCTTCTGGGAAATAAACGTGGCTGGTGCCTCTGTACGGTGCCTGTGCAGGAACACTTGTGGGGTGGGGAACAAACAAGGGAAATTTGAGCTCCAACAGCAGCTGCAGGGCTATAATCTCTTTGACAGCAGAGATGTGGTTGGCAGCTCACCTGACCCAGGAACTGCAGTGGGCCCAAAGCTCGACCACTGACTCGTGGATGGCGGCAAAGGCTCTGTGGGGGTGGAACGATGGAAAAAGCCCAATTGGCAGCACAGAGGGAAAGCAATCTGGGCTGCTGAACTGTGCGAGACATCACTGCCCGGGCAGGGGAGTTGGCTGTGACAGTCTGTCATGTAGATGCACAGGCACCCAAGAGCTGGGTATTCCAGTTATATATAGTTAAAATACCATGTACACAGTGAAGGGAATCCAGGCACACCCCCCCCCAAGGGAAAGGGACAAAAAGGGAGACCGAACAGATATACACAATCAAACCCAAGAACTATACTAATAACTAGCAAAACAGATCTCATCACGTCCCTTAGAAAAGCAGGATTGGCAGACACGGCCAGCACTTTCCCAGCCTCCACGTGGTAGGCCAGGGGTCACTGCAGGCCTCAGCCTTAGATAAGCGAGACCAACACAGGGACCCACTGCCCTGAACCTCGCCAGAAGAGAAGAGAAGAGGACTTTCATCTTCAGCTTATTTATACTCTGGTTTACGTAAAAATCATATGGAATACTGGGAACATGGCCACTTCCTTGGTTACAAGCTGGTTACCAGGAAGGCCTAGACCAAAACCATCACAGCTGGGCTAATGCAGAACATCGCAACAATGGGCAGGTGGATCAGGCTGCCAAGATTAAAGTGTCTCAGGATCTGGACTGGCACATGAGGGAGAATTAATTCTGGTTCAGTGGGCCCGAGACACCTCAGGTCATCAGGAAGAGATGCAACATCCAGATGGGCTCATGATGGGGTGGATTTAACCATGGATTTAACCATCTCCCAGATTATCCCTGGCTGTGAAACGTGTGCTGTGATCAAACAGCCAAGCAGGTGAAGCCCCCCTCTAGTGTGGGGGACAAAAGTCTAAATAGAAATCTGGGGAAGCCTGGCAGATTGATCCCATCACACTCCCAAACCTGCCAAGGCAAGTGCTACATGCTGACAGTGGTGGACACAACCCCTGGATGGCTGGAGACACACCCTGTGCCTCATGGCCTGCCTGGAACACCATCCTGGGCCTGGAAAAGCAAGACTTGGGGTGATATGACCCCCCAGAAGGAACTGAGTTGGACAATGGGACTCAGTTCAGAAGTAGCCTCATTTCTAGGCCAGAGAGCACAGGATGGATGGGTGGATCATATTCCCTGTCATGCACCAGCCTCTGGGAAAATTGAACTGTGCAATGGACTGTTAAAAACCACATTGAAAGCAATGGATGGTGGGACCTTCAAACATTGGGATCTACATTTAGCAAAGGCCACCTGGCTCTTTAATGCCTGAGGCTCCACCAGTCGAGC